TATCTTACCCACCCCCCGACACACACACACACATGCACACACACACACATTTAGTTGTCATTGGGCCTTTGTTGTTATTTATTTATGTGTTGCTGAAAATCAAACCCAGTGCCTCATACATGCTAGGCAAGCACTCTACTACTGAGCCACAACCCCAGCCCCTCACATCACATTCTTGAAGTTCGCCATTCCTGTGATGGTCAACTAATGTTCCACATTCCTGATGATGCTGAAGGAGACAGCTCTGGGGCAAGCCAGTTTGGAAATACGTTCACGAGCCCATTCGTGCAGCTTGGAGCCTGCTCCTCTAACCTGTCATTGCTTTTTATGTTTCCAGTTCCATGCATCAGATTCCTTTTCTGCTTAAAATCCTCAGACATGTTCCCATATCTGATCACACCTGCATTGACTCACATAACAACGATCCTATAAGAGAATGACTACCATCCCTATTTACAATCTGAAGAAACTGAAACATAATGAGGTTAATTAGCCCGCCCAAGGTGCTACTTACTCAGTGGCAAAACAACTCAGACTATCGAGCTCCACAACCCACACAGGCCAAGGCTACTCTGTCTCTGTCAGTTTGTGCTACTATAACAAAGTGCCACAAATAGGTTGCTTATCAACCAACATTTATATCTCACAGTTCTGGAAGCTAGAAGTCCCCTATCAGAGTGCAGCATAGTAAGGTCCCAGTGAGAGCCTTCTTCTGGCTTGCAGATTCTGAACCCTTTTTCATGTATCCTCACATGATGGGAAAAGGACTGAAAGTGCTCTAGGGTTGTTTTTATAAGAGTATTAATCCCATATGTGAGGGCTCCACCCTTGTAACCTAATCATCTCCCAAAATTCCTACCTAGTCCTAGTACAATCATGGTGGGGGGTTAGAATTTTAACACATGAATTTTGGCAGGACATACACATTCAGTCCATTGGAGCTTTCTCAGTATGCTCAGTATATTTTAAGTAGCAGGAAGTAATGATGCTTCACAGGATTGCACTTCACAGGATGAATTATTTTTCTGACCTGATTCTATTTCACTCATGATTCAAATTCCTGAAGAGTGTAATTGGTCCAACTTGGTTCTCAGATCTTGCCCACCCAGCACTACTTGATTGACAATTCCATCAAGACCGTATATGGTACAGTAGAATAGATCCTCCAAAAGAACATTCTATTGCTGTTTCTCAAGGACAAGTCCAATAGTTTGAATCTGAAATGTTCCCCAAAGGCGCATGGATTAAAGGCTTAGTTCTAGGTTGGCTCTGTTGGGAGGTGGTGGAAATTTTAAAAGGTGGGGCCTAATGGGATGTCCTCCAGATTACTGGGGCCATGCCCTTGAAGGAGATGGTAGGATCCCAGCCCCTCTTCTTTCTTTCTCTGTCTTCCAGTTCCCTGCCATAAGGTTAAGGGTTTTGCTCTGGCCCATGCCCCCTGACATCATGTCCTGTATCACACACGCAGAACAATATATACACATATATACATATCACATATTTTATATATGATCTCATTATATATTGTATAATATATATTATATAGAGATATAGAAAACTGCAGATAAGTCTGTCACAGGTTTATTTTGTAATCCATTTCACCTAAAAACTAAAAGGGACACTCAGATACTTTTAAACCCCAGGTAAGCACTCTTTGCTGCTTTTACTAAGATTTTTCCCTTCACCAATCATTTCCTGTTCTTTGATTCCTCTCATCACTTTTCTCTGATTTATGTCAAAGGTTGATTATGCGATTAAGGGCTGCTTGCAAAACATGCCTCTGCATATCACATTTCCCCAAAGCTCTGCCCTTTTCCCACTGCAACCTCCATGTTTTCACTTTTCCCCACAATACAAGTAATTTCCCAACTATAAGTTCATAAAATCGCCGTGATAGAAACTTCCCTCCCCATCTGGTCAATCTTTGAATTGACCAGGATAAGATGGTCTCAAGTGTCATTTTATGAAGACCACTTTTCCCAGAGGACACTGTGCAGGAAATGGAAGAGGGCTTATTCTAGTCAAGGCTGATCTCCCATAGCAATCAGCAAAGTAGTTTACCACTAGTCAAAAAGGTGCTGGGGCTTTAGCTACAGAGGTAAAGTCATACCCTAGAAAGAGTCAGAAATATAATAACACCAGGGCATTATTTCTTCTTTTAGAATAGGAAGAAAAATTTTCAGCAAGTATAGGTCTTGCCTGATCTGCCTGGAAATTAATGAGCAGAGACCAGTGCTATTTACCATATTAACTGAAAAATGAATGTGTGGAGGAACAAATAGCAGAAAATATGTTCGACAATGGTGGCCAATCAGATTTCTCAGAGTCAAACAGAGTCTGAACATTTAGGGAGAACATTCTAAAACTTTCCTTCAATTGCTAAATAATTGTCTCACACAAGAAACAATTTACATCAACCAAAAGAACAGTCAGGCCTCACCAGACATAGTGAGACAGATCACTTGTAAATTATAAATGAATGGCATGACCAGACACACTGTTCTAAATCATATCCACGGTGGCAGCCGTCCATTAGGAAGCTCCAAGCATAATCCCTCCACAATAGAATTTCGTACTCAGAGTTGTGCCCAGCCTTGCCACGGTAGAAGCTCAATTCATTTGCTTGGAAGAGCAAATAAGAACAACAGGCCTGCCTTGAATGTTAGCTACATGTGGCCTTGAACCTGGGCACTTCCCTTCTCCACATCAGAACATGAAAGGAAAAAAGAAAATTTATTTTTCTATTCCAGAGCAGGGCCTTAAAATTATTTCTCTTACTGCCTCCTTTTTATGTTTTAATCTTTTGATAAAATAATGGATGTAATGCCCCAACATTAGAAGACATTTGGAAAAATTCATCACCCTAATGGAATCATTCTACCCTTTTGTTTTTTGCAAAGTCAAAATCATAATGTGTATGAGATCTGGTCATCTGCTCTTTTCACTTATAATGGCAGGCATCTGCTCCTGTTACAAGTTCCATAATCATAATTGTAACAAAAGCATGTGTCACCATATTGTTGGCCCCAGTTTAATTAATCATTTCCTTATTGTTCATCCAGGTTAAAAGAGTCCCTATTAGCCAGTATAAAGCCAAAAAGGTTTTGGTTTGCTTTTAAGACTGGATTTGGTAGCTAAGTATGGAACCAACCTAGGTGTCCTTCAATAGTTGAATGGATAAAGAAAAGATGGTGTACATATACACAATGGATATTACTCAGCAATAAAGAGTGAAATTATGGCATTTGCCAGTAAATGGATGGAACTGGAGACTATCATGCTAAATGAAATAAAGCCAATCCCAAAAAACCAAAGGCCAAACGTTCTCTCTGATATGTGGATGCTGATTCACAATAGGCTGGAGGTGGGAAGGAAGTGGAGTTCGATGGGTTGGACAGGAGGGAATGGGGGGAAGGGAGGAGGGGTGAAAATGGGAAAAACAGTAGAATGAATCAGATATAACTTTCCTATGTTTATATCTGAATACATGACTATTGTAACTCCACAACGTGTATACAACCACAAGAATGGAAACTTATACTCCATGTATGTATGATATGTTAAAACACATTCTACTGTCATGATTAAAACACATTCTACTGTCATGAATAACTAAAAAGAACAAATGAATTTAAAAAAAAAAAAAAGACTGGCTGTGGGAAGCTCTATTCAGAGAACAATTACTGTAAAAAAGTGACTTCCCTAGATGCGAGATTGAGGCCAGCCCAGGGGGAGTAAGCTCCTACTGCTGGGGAGTTTGGGGAATAACAGAAAATTCCTGGCGCTAGAGGTCCAGGCAATAGAGCCAGGACAGGGTAGAGAAAAGTAAAGCAAAAAAAGAAGAAGAAGAAGAAGAAGAAGAAGAAGAAAGATAAAAGTCCTACCCAGAACAAATTTTACCCATAATTAGTTACATTTAATATCATTTATCTTGCTCCTTTCTATTATTAACTTTTAAACAGTATTTAAACCTTTAACAAAATTTTTTCTTCAAAAATAACTTTAACCATTACATTTTATATTCAATGAAAAAAGAACAAATGTGGGCTGGGGATGTGGCTCAAGCAGTAGCGCGCTTGCCTGGCATGCATGCAGCCCCGGTTCGATCCTCAGCACCACATACAAACAAAGATGTTGTGTCCGCCGAAAACTGAAAAATAAATATTAAAAAATTCGCTCTCTCTCTCTCTCTCTCTCTCTCTCTTAAAAAACAAAAGTTAAAAAAAAGAACAAATGTACGTAGTAAAAATGATAAAAAAAAATTCCTCAAGCACAGAATAGAATATTTCAAATCACAGACTTCTATCCTTCATCAAGAAGTAAATAAATAATTACTAACAGTATACCCTGTGTCTTTCTAGAATTTTTCTTTGCATATGCATACATATTTACATGCATGTCCCTATTTCTTATTTACACAAATGAGAACACACACTGTATTGCACTTGACATTTTTACTTGACTTCAGATCTCACATTGATCCATCTTGGCATATTTAATTTACTTTATTATTTTTTAAAGAGCTGCATAGCTCTTTGGTGTATAAAAGTGCTATGATTTATTTAACCATTTCCCCATTGAGAAATGTTTTTATAGTTTCTATTTTTCCTTTTTTTTTTTGTATTACAAATGATGTTTAACCATGACATTTTTTTGATAGATCTGGGGCAATCAGAAGTCTTGGATTTCCGGAACAATCTTTCTGTAATGTAGCAAATTATTTTCAAAAGATAAAATAATTTGTATAGATTCAAAAAGGCATTTGGTAAAGCTTACTATTTCAATCCTGATTTTTTTTTTTATTTCACTAAAGAAAAATTTCTTTTTTCATTTTCATGCTTAACAGGAAATAACGGAAGCTTCACCAGGAGAGTCAGGAAAAAGACAAGGTTGTTCACTCTATTCACTAGCATTGCCCTAGAATTATTAGCTAATGAAAATGAAAGCAAAAAAAGCATTAAAATTGGAAATTAGGAAGTAAAACTGTCTGCCTGCAGACGATGTATTATACAACTTGAAAAAAAACAATAAAAAACATTTAGAAACAATAAAGGCATACAATAAGGCGGCTCTCATGGACTGTGAGATGGGCAACCCCCTGGGGGCAATCTGAACTATCTATCAAAGCCCAATGAGCTCCTAAGCGTACTTCCAGAATTTTTTCCTTCAAATATTCCGCTCCGTGGACTCAGAGACACAGGTACAGGTATGTATCTAGATACATGGATCTTTCATTAGAGCAGTTTTTATAAAAAGCAAAGGCTGGAAACAGCTGGTTTTTTAAAGGGGGTTCCTATACATCTCTGAACCAGTATATGATATGGGCATAAAATATTTTTCAAAGAAAAGCTGAGAACCTGGTCTCAGTGAAAGTCTCTAAAGAACAAAACCTGGAAAACATGAAGAGCCGTATGTTTTACCATGTACCTTTCATACCACCGGGACTTGCTGTGTGCCCCCAAATGCATGCCTTAAAATGTGATTTACTTCTTATGCTATGATCAAGCCAGAAAACTGATTTTTAGTTCAAAATAGATGGGATTCATTCAGTAAAGAAAAACTTTTCATTGGCATTAAGGGGAGAAAAATGATACTTAGGATTGTTTTGTTATCATTATGTTTACGGTGTTATGCTCGAATTCGGGACCCCCAAAAGACCACCAGAGACCCAAGATCGATGTAAGCAAGAAAGAGGTGTTTATTGCGAGCTAGCTCAGTCCTCCGTGCACACACAGCAACTGGTGTCGCTGAGAGGCCCCGAGCCCGGGGTTTGCAGGAGTTTTATACACTCTTTGGGGAAGGCAGGGACTTCACATACATCATAGCATCTCTTAGCAAATCATCACACACCGCGGGAAAATCAAATAACAACTCTAAAACATGATTAGCACATTCACTGGTGGGAACAAGTTGGGTAGGGGTGATTGGTCAGTACAAAAGGGGTATTCATTTGAACTGATTGGTTTAAGCCAAGAGGGGTGTTCATGCTGAATTACTTGGTTTCCCAACACCATAAACTACTGGGAGGGTCATCTGGCATCCCAGGTATTTCCCTGTCTCATGCTGATTGGTGGCTGCTAGGGGGTTACTATGGGTCTCCACCTAGCCTGACTGAGTCAAGGACACCTGGAGCAGCAGATCTCTCCTGTTATTTGTAGATAAACAACTTAGCAGGGTGGGAATGTGCCTAGGAGTGCTCTGTGGGTCTTTCCAAGGACAAAGGTGATGTCCCTTCCTTGGACAGGCTTTGCTCTGAGGTAGAGGCTGGTTTTTCAACAGTCGTTTTAGTCTTTATAGTCCTGAAATGGTACAACTGTGTCTCTTCTCATCCACTAACTTTACAGGTCAGGTTTTTCAAGTCCTGTGGCCAGATACCAGTTCGTGTCACTGAATACAGTGAATTCTGCTCCGAGGCTTTTTTTTCTTTTTTTCCTTTTTTCTTTTTTGATATGGGGGACTTAACTCAGGGACACTTTACCACTGAAATACATCCCCAGCCCTTTTTGATTTTCTTTTTGGTTTGTTTGGGGTTTTGTTTGTTTTGTTTTGTTTTGTTTTGTTTTGTTTTAAGACAGGGCCTCATTAAATTGCTGAGGTTGGCCTTGAATTTACAATCCTCCTGTCCCAGCCTCCTGAGCTGCTGGGATTACGGGGATGAGCCATTGCATTTGGCTAGGAAGCTTTTCTGAGGGACTTCAGAGACTGTTAGCTTTCTATCACTGTCACAAATACCTGACATAATCAACTTACAAAAAACAAAATGTTTACTTTGGCTCCCACTTCTGAAGATTTTTATCAATAGTCATTGACCCCACTGTTTTGGACCTGTGGCAAGGCTGCACACCATGACAGTAGAGCAAAACTGCTGAGCTTCTTTGGATTGGGGTCACTCCATTTGACTGGTTTCCTGCTATAGTCTGATTTGTTTTTTTTTGTTGTTGTTTTTTTTGGTTTTTTTGGGTTTTTTTTGGTACGGGGATTAAACCCAGGGGGGCTTAACCACTGAACCACATCTGGAAAGCAGAAGAGAAGAAAAATGGGTGAGGTCCCAGCATTCCCTTCAAAGTCACACCCCCAATGAACTGAAGAACTCCCCCTAGGACCCATTTCTTAAGATTTTCACCATCTCCTAATGGCACCACACTAGGGACCAATCATTTAACACATGGGCTTTTAGGGGACATTTAAGATCCAGACTATAGCCAGGCAAGGTGGAGCATGCCTATAATCCCAGCGGCTAGGGAAGCTGAGGCAGGAGGATCATGAATTCAAAGTCAGTCTCAGCAACTTAATGAGGTGCTAAGCAACTCAGTGAAACCCTGTCTCTAAATAAAATACAAAGAAGAGGTGGAGATGATGTGGTTCAGTGATTAAGCCCCACCCCCCCGGGTTTAATCCCGGTACCAAAAAAAAAAAAAAAAACAGATTATAGCAGGAAACCACCCAAATGGAGTGAACCCAATTCAAGGAGCTTGGTTCAGGCTAACCCAGAAGGTGGAAGAGAGAAAACTTTGTCTGGTGGCTGTTCTGCTTGCTCTAGCTGGCTCCTCTGGTTACTGTGACATCAGAGACAATACAGTTCCACTCTAAACCTCCTTCATCTTGTGTTTTCCCTTCCTCTTCTGGTCACTTCTGATGTAGAGAGGGGAACTTAGGCAATTCTAGTGGGTGGGAAGATGAAATGAAACAAGGAGGTATGGTGTTAGCAAAAGAAAAATTTACACTGAATGACAATAGTATTTTATTTTAAAATTACCTAGACTGAACTATAGGGATTAGTTCCCAAAATTTCATGCACCAACAGAGGAGGGACTCAGCTGCACCTGAGTCTCTGGGGAGCATCTTTCAATGGAAGAATTCCCAGCCTGCACTTTAAGACATTCTGCTTCACTGGTTCGAGGGTAGGACCTGAGAATACATATTTTTTAAAACACTTCCTGAGTAATTCTGAAGGGCAGCCAGGCTTGGCAAACACAGGTATGAATTATTCAGTTACATCCAAATTATTTTGACCCATATAACAGTCTAATAAATTTGGATGTGACCCTTTGGGGAAAAAGTCCCAGAAAAAATTGCTATCATAAGGAAATTAAATTAATCCTCAAGGGTGAGTAAATTAATTCCAGTAAACACATTATAGTCGCTGCATTAAGTAAAAATTTTGTCTTCCTAATCAATAATGAAATAAGCAGAGAGAGGATATTTTAAAGTCTGTAGGAGATATTATAATTCAAGCACTAGCCTAGATCTGATAAATATTTTATAGACAATCAATTTTATTTCATTTTACTTGAGAAATGACTAAGGGCCTGTGTTTCTATTTGGCAACATCAGGTTTTTTGAGTTGAACTGGAAGCCTACCATGTTGGTTAAACTAATGTGAATTTCTCCCTGGAGGTGATTGTTAACAACTCGTGACTAAAAGACATTGGGTCATTTCTCTCCTCAATCTAAGCCACTCTGCATTGCTAGGCCGGTTTTGGGGCTCTGGCTCTGAAGTACAGTGCTGAGAGCCATCTTTTAAAAGTAATCTTCCTTCAAAATCTACCTTTTCCCCCTAGGTATGTTGCTCACCTGTAATCCCAGCAACTTCGAGGCAGAAGCAGGAGGATTGCAAGTTCAAGACCAGCCTTGGCAACTTGGCAAGACTCTCCACAACTTAGTGAGATCTTGTCTCAAAATAAAAAGAACTGAAATGTAGCTCAGTGTGAAAGCTGGGCCTGATTTTCAGTATACATTTTTTTTTAAAGAGAGAGAGAATTTTTTAATATTTATTTTTTTAGTTTTCGGCAGACACAACATCTTTGTATGTGGTGCTGAGGATCGAACCCCGGCGGCACGCATACCAGGCCAGCACGCTACCGCTTGAACTACATCCCCAGCCCAGTATACATATTTTTTAAAAAATAATCTTGCCTATTTGCAAGGTACAGAGTTGTAGATCTCTTATCCTGGTCCTCCTGAAAACCTTGTAAAACTTGACTGCAAAGTGAGGTAAAGAAAGAAGGAAAATTAGGTTCTTTTCACTCATCAATTTACAGGACCAAACAAGAGGTTTATACCAATAATAGGTAAGTTTATGGTAAACACCCATAGGGGTATGCAGGATGCCAGAGTTTATAGTGGTGGTTATTTGGTTTGATTTGGTTGATTTTTTTCTTCCCATCCTAAATTGAGTAAGAGGTTTTGCAAAAGATATAATCAAACCAGTCAAGAAAAACCTTCAGGGTGAGTAAACTTATGAAAAAATTATCTCAACACAAACAAGGAGTATACACGGAAAGTTAGGTATTCTCAGTTCTCAAAAGTTGTAAAACAGCTGGGCTTGGTACCACACACCTGTAATTCCAGTGACTCCGGGAGGCTGAGATAGGAGGATTACAAGTTCACAGCCAGCCTCAGCAACTTAGCAAGGCCCTAACCTACTTAGTGAAACCCTATCTCAAAATGAAAAATAAAAAAGGCTGGGGATATGGCTCAGTGTTAAGCACCCCTGATTTGAATCCCTGTTACAAAAAAAAAAAAAAAAAAAAAGTTGCAAAACAGGTTAGTTCAACTTCGTGTGAAAATGCACTAGAGAAACTGATTATCGGAGTCTAAACTGAGATTGATTGATTGATTGATTGATTGATTTTACATTCACGAGAAATATAATAACTTCAAAAGATCCTTTCACCCTTTCTTGGATCCATCTCACTCAGGCTGCTCACGCTGGCTGCAAATGCGGTGAGAGTCTCCACATGATTTAACTGGATGCCACAGCAGGCCTCTAGAGGGCGCTTTGCATGAACGATCTCGAGCTTCGGAGAAGAAAAGGGGAAGGGGCTGGGGATAGAAGATCAAGCCCCACGACCACCAGGTTAAGATTCCCTAAAAGTTGCCTTCAAGGAAACAGTGTCCCCAGAAGGAAGAAAACTAAGGAAAAGGAAATTTGAAAGCTATGTGCTCTCTCATCACCGAAGAGGAAATTTACAGATAACTGCAAATGAGTGTGTCATATGAATGTCCCCAGCCCAGGCCCTTGGGAATGCTCCACTGACTGCTTCTGAGCAGCTGTGATCACATTCAGCACAGACTGCCCACTGCTGGCTAAGAGTGCTGTTGCTTCCAGAGAATGTCCTGCCTGGTATGATGGCACATGACTGTAACCCCATCTCCTTGGGAGGCAGAGACAGAAGGATCACAAGTTTGAGGCCAGCCTCAGCAATTTGGAGACACTGTATCTCAAATTTAAAAAAAAAAAAAAAAAAAGTGGGAAGGAGGGGGTCAGAGAGGGGGTGTAGCTGAGTGGTAGTGCCCCTCCTCAGAGTAGAAGGGTGATCATAGGCAGCTACCAACAGATTCATCCATAACCAACCTGGAAGGGATTGGGACTGAGAGTGGCATCCCCCTATCACACATTTGCACCTAAGAGAGGACACCACCATCTGTGCAAATTGCTGAGATGAGTGTTCCAAAGCCAACATCTTCATTATGGTTATCTTAGGTCTCAGGTAGCCCCCCAGAGGTGGATGTGTCTGTTGAAGAGAAAGGATCAAGGTTTTAGTGAATGTCTCCTATTTCTGTATTTATAATGCACAGGAATATGTGACTAAATAAACCAGAAAGCTGCATGGTTCTTTGAGAATTATATAATTCATATGTGAGAATTATATAAAAATTCAGGTCTGGGTGTAGCTCAGTGGTAAAGCATGTGTTTAGCATGCTCAGGGCCCTGGATTCAATCATTAGCACCAAAAATAAAAATAAAATTAAAATGCAGAGACTTGACTCCGTGTGTGTGTGTGTGTGTGTGTGTGTGATTAGAAATTAAACCTAGGGCTTCATATCCGCTGGGCAGGTGTTCTACCACTAAGCTGCACCCAGCCCTTGCCTGTATTAAGCAAGAAAAATTACTTCAAGTTGGTCAATGCAAACTTTTATCCCCCTTTCATATATGCAGATTTTTCCTGCGGTTATGGGAAGAAAATATTTACTTTGGCCTCCAAGAGTTTTATTTTAGATGAGATAAGAAAACACACCCACATAACGATTCAAGATCAATAAAAGGCAGAACTTAAATCAGAACCTAACTGGTGTGGTAGGGAATTAAAATCATAACAATACTCTAGAGAAAGAAATAAAACATGACTGGGAGCCAAGGTAACTGCTACTGTAAAAGGTTTCATAGAAAAAATGATCCGTTAGCAGAGCTCCGAAAATAATTTAGTTAAATGTATATGGGAGCTGGGCACAGGGGCACTCGCCTGTAATCCCAGTGACTTGGGCGGGAGGCTGAGGAAGAAGGATCACAAGTTTTCTTCAGCAACTAAGTGAGGCCCTAAGCAGTGAGACCTGTCTCAAAACAAAAAAATAAAAAGGGCTGGGGATTGGCTCAGTGGTCAAGTGCCCCTGGGTTCAACACCCAGTACCAGGGGAAAAAAAATTATATAGAAGTGGCAGAAGTTTATTCCAAAGAGAAGTAACAGCCAAAGTACAGGGGTCAGAACAACAGGGATTGTACAGGATAAAGAGATGTCTGCCTGCCATTCTCCCAGCCCATGACAGTGTATAGAAATATACCCTATGTACAAGCCCCTGTGCCAGACACGCTCATTTATCCCCATTTCATCCGCACAGAAGTCTAAGGAGGCAAGTCCAGTTGAACAAACCAGAAGGGAAAGGCTCAAAGGGGCTTAGTAACTTGTCTGGGTTACATGTTGGTGAGTGGCACAGGTGGGACTCCAACTGGAATCAGCGGGTCTAGAGCCTGTGCTATGAACTCCAGCAGGCTCATATGAATCTATGGTTGAGTGGTCAACCAGCAACAGGGAGCTGCATAAAGTTCTCAGGTATGTGCTGGTGGCCAGTACAATCTGTCGAGAAGCAGACAGACGAGAATGGGATAAACTGGCTGCTCAATTGGTTTAATGCTTATCATTCTACACTCTCAGTTTCACACTCAAGCTACCTGGATAGGCAGTTGTGCTTGGGACTTGCAATTGATCCTGAGACAAGTGAAGGGGAAATGGAAAAAAAGAGCCCACTCTGGTTTGGGGCTTTGGGGGCTTTGAAACTGGGGATTGAACTCAGGGGCGCTTTACCACTGATTCTACATCCCCAGCCCTTTTTATTTTTTATTTTGGGACAGGATCTCCCTAAATGGCTGAGATTGGCCTCGAAATTGCAATCCCCCTACTTCAACCTCCCCAAGTCACTGGGATTACAGGCATGTGGCACCATGCCCAGATCAAAGAGCCCATTCTTAAGGGCCTTCTGGAAGAGGAACTGGAAAACAAAGACAAAAGAAAGGAAAAAGTTAAAGATGCTACATCTACAAGGTTTCTCCAAAGGTATCCATTAGCATCATAATTCCCTGGGGATCTTGTTAAAAATGCCAAGCCCTAGGCCCACAGTCTGGTGATTTCTTAAATTTTTATTTTTATTTTTTTATTTATTTTTTTTGTTTTGTTTTTTTGCAGCTCCATTTAATGGTTTGGGATCTCCATGGTAAGTGTGAGGCATATCCATCATTGACCAAAAAATCACCATGTAGCATGTGACTGCATGTGGCTCAATGTGGACCACACTCTCCCACCAGTCAGTGACTAATGTATTATCTGCTAGCATCCTTTCTGATGGATCATAAAATATCTCTTCTGATTGGTTGTTGGCTAGTTATCTTTTGTTTTCTTTCACATTCTCTCTCTTTCCATGGCTGTTAGTTCCAACACAGGGGTTCCCACTAATAGATCAGGGTTTCTTAGCACCATCTGGAAATTTGTGGAGTTGAAACATCCACTTCTCATTTTTTGTCCAGTGCCAGGCTTTTACACTGTTGATGTGGAAAACTGAGGTATAGCTGCAGCTTTTTCCCTGCTTGGAAAATTTACAAATGATTACTCTTTTTTTTTTTTTTCCTTTCTTGGTGGTTATATTATGTCTCTGGGGAAATGCAAAGCCAGACTTCTTTGAAAATGAGACTGAAAAAAATTGGATTCTAATGCACCAGTAACTCTTGCTTCCAGTTTTGCAATGATTTCAGGCCTCTGAATCCCCTTATGAGCATTTGAGGCTATGGGGTCAAAGCATCATTTTAAATGTGGTTCAAGCGGTAGTGTGCTCACCTGGCATGCGTGCAGCCCGGGTTCGATCCTCAGCACCACATACAAAGATGTTGTGTCCGCTGAAAACTAAAAAATAAATATTAAAATTCTCTCTCTCTCTCTCTATCTATCTATCTAAAAAAAAAATTACCACACAATTACTTTTCTAGGTATATACCTAAGAAAAGTGAAAGCAGGGACTTGAACAAATATTTGTACACCAATATCATAACAGTGTTATTCACCATAGTCCAAAGGACTCAAAGTGCAACAGTAAATGGATAAATGGGTGGATGGATGAATAAAATAAAATATGATGTGTGTGTGTATGTGTGTGTGTGTGTGTGTGTGTGAGAATATTAGCCCACCTTAAAAAATACAGAAGAACCTGAAGGCGTTATGCTACTTATGCTAAGTAAAATAAGCTCTTCACAAAAAAAGGATAATATTGTGTGATTCCAGCTGCAGGAGATCTCTATAATGGGCAAGTTCATAAAGACAGAAAGTAAAATAGATATTTCCAGGGCCTAGAGAAAAAGGGGAGAGTGGGGACTTACTGGTTAATGGTTACAGAGTTTCAGGTGGGAAAGATAAAAAAAGTTCTGAAGATGGATGAAGGTGATGGTGACACAACAATGTGAATGTTCCTGTCACTGAACTTTGTACTGAAAAAATGGTTAAAATGGCTGGGGATGTGGATCAGGGTAAAAGCACTTACTCTGCATTCATGAGACCCTGTGTTCAATTCCCAGCATGGGAAAAAAAAGAGATTTTATAAAAATGATAAATGTTATATTGTGTATATTTGACCACAATGAAAAACAGGGAAAAAAATGAAGGAACACTATATTAACACATTCTCCTGTGAATGGACATTTGTGATTTCCCCGGTTGGTGTGTTTATTTCTTTGTTTTTATGGCTAGGACAGACAATACTGAGGAAAACATTCTTTTATTTGTCTCCTGTACATATGTGCAAGAGAGTCTGAAAAATATATACCTAAAAATGGAATTGCTGAATCATCTTTACTATGAGAAATTTTCTTCCAAAGTGGTTGTACGATATTATATAATTTACACCATAAAATAATAATTTGTAAAGAAAATATTCAGGAAATGCTAAATTTGAGCCCAAAGGAAGTGGGTGAATCTCTCAACTTCCCCAGCCATCAGGAAGGGTATGACCCAGAAAATGGGTCTCCAACCAGACTACGCCCGGCATTCTTTCTTTTTTTTTGCTGAGCATTCGTTTTAAGACCATTGGCTAAAGGATGTCCACCTCGTGGTGGACCTTCACAGTGTGAGAAGCAGCTTCACTGCACTCTGGGTGTCAGCTTGTTTGAGTCTAGGGATACAGAACACCCACACATAAGTCACACAAGCAATTCTATCACTTACCCAGGCAGCAAGAGACAATGGAAGATCTGGATTTATTACAAGCAATCTCCCAAGGCTCAGGAAGGCAACCTGGAGTGAATAGAGTCTTGTCCACAGATACTTCACTGTTCCACAGCTGAGGAATCCCAGAAAAGCATCCTGACCTGGTTTTTATACCCAATGGGACATGAACCACTGGACTGCAGTGGAATAGAGCTTGGGCTGTCGGTCAGTCCTTCCCTATCTCAGGATGTCATACTCCCAGCACATTCTACAGTTATTCTTGAGAACTACAAGTGAGAAAATGGAGAGAATTGGGTCTGTGTAAGGCCACTCAGAACTGTCCTGTAGGATGCTGACTGGTTGGAAACTTCCAGGGGGGAATGGCTGAATGGGATGGGAGGCTGATCTAGAAATGGTGTGTGGGGACCTTTTGGAAATTCAAGTTCAGAAACACAACTATTTGCTATTTGCCTGGATAAAACCCTTCTCCCTTCTCCACAGCAATTCCATCTTCTCTGATTAAGTAAGAAAAAGCAGAAGGATCCAGATTCACAAAATCAGCCTGGAGAAAGAAAAGCATTAGTTAGAAGACCCAGGACACCTTCCTTCAAGTATTAGAAAACATCTAATCTCTGGGAACGGTAGCACATGCCTATAATCCCAGCAGTTTGGGAGGCTGAGGGAGGGGGTTTGTGAGTTCAAAGCCAGTCTCAGCAATTTAGCGAGGCTCTAAGCAACTCAGTGAGACCCTGTCTCTAAA